AAAATTACAAGATTATGTAGCTGAGATAAAGAGAGACAAAGGATGCAGAGGTAAAATAAAGGTATAGGTAGAAATAAAAATATGTAAATATATGAATACTATCATAGTTCTTAAGGACTCAATTAACAAGTTGATCCTGTCGACATATTTTTCTCCTAAATAAATGACACTCAACAATCATATCCGGACACATACAGGGGAGAAACCATTTAAGTAAGTAATCAAAGACTCCTGTCGACATATTTTTCTCCTAAATAAGTGACACTGAAATAAAGAAGGAACACGGCCAGGTTCACACATCTATTTAGTATTCGGAAGTGAATTCAAAAAGGACTTCCCAGAAAGGGTGAAATTTAAATCTGGATTATTTTAGTGTTTCCTTCCTGCTCCACTGAGTCTTTGATTACTTACTTAAATGGTTTCTCCCCTGTATGTGTCCGTATATGATTGTTGAGTGTAGTAGCACCAGCAAAGGCACGACCGCAATAGCCACACTTGAAAGGTCTGTCACTGGAGTGAGTGACTACGTGGTTCCGGAGCTCTGAAGGTTGGGAGAAGGATTGGGAGCAGTGTCCACACTGATAGGGCCTGCAGAAAATAAGAAACACCCAATGTGATCACTACTTGTTTTGTTTTTTAACTGCAGCACATGGAAAATCATTTGGGTGGTGCCGCCAAGCTTGGATTGCTGACTTCAAAAGGGAATGTAATAGTGAACTTCCTTAAAATTTGAAATGTTGTCCTTCTCATCTTCCCTAATGATGTCCTCCACATGTGATAAATATCATATCCTATAAGCGTAGCAAGCATTGCTATGCTTGCTAGATATTGCAAAGTCGAATACATTTAGGGATGTGTTGTCTATAGTCTTTTTTTAAAATAGTAGGGAATCTCAGTTTCATATAAGGTCCTCATGAACAAAACATTTTCCCTCCTCTTCTCACAACAAAATATTGAGTGTATTACCAACTACAAACAATAGTATTTTGATTCTTCTGAGAATGTGTAATATAGTTGTTACATATACTCAAAGAATCCAACAAGCTGGCTCCAATCATTTTTCTGTTTAAAATCTCTAAGGCAAGTCATCTTTAATAAATGAGGGACTTGGAGGATGGTCGGAGCCTGGAATTCAATCTTTCATTTGAAAGCTTGTACTGCTGAATCAGAGGTGGTATTCAGTAGTTTCTGACCAGTTCTGGAGAACTAGTAGCGGATATTTTGAGTGGTTTGAAGAACTGGTAAATATCACCTCTGACTGGCCCCATCTTTTCTCTACCTCCTGAGTCCCAGCTGATTGGGAGGAAATTGGGATTTTGCAATAACCTTCCCCTGGAGTGGGAANATAGATAGATAGATAGATAGATAGATAGATAGATAGATAGATAGAATAGTCAACAGTTGAATCATTTTTCCTTCTGTTCAAATGTATGTTTTCATTTGCTTGTTTTATGATAGACTATATAATGCATATTTATATTTAGATATGTAAATACATATATTGGAAATACAGAACTTGTGGGAAGGTACAGTAACACACTATTGAATTAAATTATTCCAGTGCATTACTTTGTAAATTATAAATTCTTGCATACGCTATTCTGTAAATTTTAATGCAATATATTGGTTGAGTAAAGATATTGGTGTTACACAAAACACTATTATCATTTCAATATCCATTAAAATGGATTTCACTGTTACTTTTTTCATTACATAAATGTTTTAAGGTTAACTGAAATACATATATCAAATATTGGCCAATTATGTAAAAATCTTGCATTCAAATATAGTCACAGAACACATAAAATTAATGCGATTCATGTGTATCTAATGGAATTGGTTCCCAAGCAGTTTATTTCATGGATGGAATTAAACTGAAACCACTCCATATTAATTCAAATATTTTAGGAAATAAAAAAGAGAAAGAAAATATAAAGGGAAAAAATGTAGCATTGGCTCTTAGTGGTGCAAATAGTAGATTTATTGGAAACATGACAAAAACAGAACATTATGGGGGTGGAAATTAAATGGAGTCAACAAGGTTACATATAAGTAACATCTTAACATTAAAAGAAATCTATTTTCCATTTTGACCCGGAAGCCTGTACAATTAATTACTAAAATCTATTTACACAGCAACTACATAAAATCAATCTGAACTGCTAGTTTTTGGCTTCCTTTTCCATTGGCTGTATTAATCCAATGTAATGGTTCAGTAGCTGCCATTTGTTGACACGGCACTCTTGTGTCATTCTAGATTGAAGCTGAACACTGATTGAGTTGCATTTTGGCAAACATGGCACTTGACTCCTTATCTTTGCACTCTGGGCATCCCAGTGAGATGGTCAATCATAATTTTTATGAAACTTAAGTAACTTGGTATTTAAATGGTTACATTTATATATGGTTTACAAGCCAGAGCAACCAAAGAAAGTGGTTATTATAATATAATATCAGTGAACACATGGTTTTGGCGTTATTTGGGCTGCAAGTTAAAAAAAGAAAGTAATGGAATATTGCTAGTATTTCATCTGAGTATAACAATGGCTGTCAAAAGTTATGCAACAAAACTATTCCACAAACAGAATCTGAAAAGGTATCTCCACTCTAGGTTTCTTTATGTGATATGGTTTCTCAAATGATACTTTGCTGTTACTATCAATATTTAGTGGCTACTGGCCTTTGCAATTAGTGTGTATGTCTGTGTGGAAAACTTTGAGTCAGTTTTTTAAATTATTATTATTATTTCTGGCAACTGCCTGGACTGGTCTCTGCAGTTTCCTTGGCAAGACTTTTCAGTTGTCTGCCATTTTCTCATTTCCAGAACTGAGAAAAAGCTGTGACTAGTTCAAGGTGCACCTTTGTGCTTAACCCAAAACTAGAACTCATGGTTTCCTGGTTTCTAGCCTGATTCTTTAATTATTACACCAGGGGTGGTATTTACTTACCTTCCCTACCGGTTCACAAATGTGAATGCGTGGCCACCTCCGTGCATTCGCTAAGCATCTCACGCATGTTCTTTTTGCTTAAAAAGGGCCTAAATGGGATACTATAGAGCAGGGGCAAGTGTGCGGGGACACCCACGATTTCCACTTCTGGTTCGGGTGAACGGTCCTAACCGATAGAATAACACCTCTGTATTACACCAACTAGCTGTTCCATAATTAGAAGCGGAATCAATTGCAAGCATGTCAATAATTTAAAAAATATGTTATTTCAAACTTACTTGATTTATCTGAACTTCTTAAAACATAAACAATCAACAACAAACCTTGTTTTTCCATGCATCCCAAACTAAGATGTCTGCCTCAACCACATCTTGCAAAGCAACTAAATCTCACATGGAATTCAATTCAGCTATAGTAATGAGGGAATAGAGGAGGACAGACTCTTTAACCCCTTTCTGTGACTTTTATTTTTTTTCATATTGATAGCTGGTCTGTTTTGACTAGTTCTGGGAATTAACATACTAAAGGTTCATAAGGGGAACATCTGAACCAGAATTGATTGGCCTGTGAATATTTTTGGGTTACAACTCTTATCAGTCCTGGTGAGCAAAACTGTAAGCCAAAACTAACATAATTTGTAGTTCAGTATCCACAACTATGTTTTCCACGCCCCCCAATTCCACTCTAAAATATTAGTTGTACTTATATAAAATAATATAATCATACACTTGTGTAGTTTTTTCTCCTATTTAAAATACTTCTGTCTTAAAAGTATGCAATCACTGTTGCTTTGATGCTCACTGATTGTTCCCTACTCGATGTTCCTGAATATACTGTGCATGACATATGCCTGAAAAATTATTTCTTTTGTTGTTCTTAGATACTATTACTGGAGAGATTGTTACAGATTTTTTTTAAAAAAAACCAACCACCATTTTCTGGTAAAATTACAAGATTATGTAGCTGAGATAAAGAGAGACAAAGGATGCAGAGGTAAAATAAAGGTATAGCTAGAAATAATTTTTCAGGCATATGTCATGCACAGTATATTCAGGAACATCGAGTAGGGAACAATCAGTGAGCATCAAAGCAACAGTGATTGCATACTTTTAAGACAGAAGTATTTTAAATAGGAGAAAAAACTACACAAGTG